CAACGTGATATCTATTTCCTTTTTTCGGGCTAGGTAATTCTGCCTTTTTTCTTCATTTTTTTGTTGAATTAATTTCACTATTTCTTCTCAATCACTTGGCTCCAAGTCATGATAATAGATAAATCCCCCATTTTTCCTTTGCTCGGCTCGGTTCATAATAAAATCATCATTGTCGTGAATGTCAACAAAACTTTTGCTTTTTTCTCTCCCAACAAATGCCCATAAAGAGCCGTAATAATCATCACCAGTAGGTAATTTTGGCACCGCAATATATTCCGGTGAGTTTAATTTTGTTTTTAATTTTTCGGCTAAGACTTTTTTGTCATTTATGTTTTTTGCCATATTAATTTAATATTTTTATTATATATTATATATTTTAGTGAGTTCCAGATTTGCCATGTTGTCCGGCTCGGCGAGTTGGAGAAAATTCTCCGAGTTTAGAGTTAACCATGCCTTCAGTAATTCACTGTTTAGTGAATCCCTTGCCATTATGAATCATCAGAGTAAAACCAACCATTTCTGGAAAAATAGTAGAATCGCGACACCAAACTTTAATAGGAGTAAAAAAAATTTTAGAAATTTCTTCTTCTTTACCTCCTTTTTTTTCTAATTCAGCAATTTGTTTCAGACGATTTTCAATCTTTTCCTTTAATTTTCCATCGACAAATGGTTCTTTTTTTAGTGAGCGTGACATATATTATTTATTTTTTACAAATTCTAAAATCTTTTTAACCTTATCAAAAGCACTGACTTGACTGTTGTCGATTTTTAAGAGTTGCATTATTAACTACTTTGTGCGACGATGAATAATATATTTATTAGACAGTTTATTCTTTTTTCGCGTTTTTTTCCCCAAGGTTTTTTTCCCTCATGGACTAAGTGGCGAAGGATGTCCAATTCCTGTTTTCTGTTCTCCACCACCATGGGGATGGTCACAAGGGTTCATGGCGGAACCTCGTACAGTCGGACGAATGCCTCGTCAACGACTTCGACCTGCTTTTCCTAACCGGACTAAATTGGCTTCGCTATTGCTTACTTTACCGATAGTGGCTCGACAAGTAACTAAAAATTTTTTAACCTCTTTAGAAGGTAATTTGACCTGAACATAGCGATTATCGGCATCTTTTCCCATTACTATTGCACTAGTTCCAGCTCCCCGAACTACTTTGCCCCCCTCCCCAGGTCTTGATTCAAGGTTGTGAATAAAAGTTCCGGCTGGAATATCACTCAAAGGCAAATTATTTCCAGTTTGAAGTGGACTTTGTTTTTCATCATTAATTTTATCTCCAACTTTTAATCCCTGTGGAGTGATAATAAAGGAATTACTTCCATTGCGATAACTAATAAAAGAAATAAAGCAATTACGATTAGGGTCATATTCAATACTTTTAACTTTCCCTTCTACCTTATCTTTTTCATAACGTTTGAAATCAATAATTCGGTAAAAGCGTTTGTGTTTTCCCCCTTGGTGTCGAGTAGTAATTTTTCCTTGGTTATTACGTCCAGATTGGGGCTTAATTATTTTAAGCAGTTGACGAGGAATTTTTTGTGGATTAGGAACTAATTTTTCTCGGTAATTGATGAGAGTAGTGTTCCGACTAGAATTAGCTATGGGCTTAAGGATTTTCATTATATATATTATTTAATTTTAAATTATTATTCTTCAAAAATGGGTAATTTTTGTCCCGGCATTAACTCAACCAAAGCCTTTTTTTTTAATTTAGTAAAAATTCTAGTAGGTGATTTTTGCAAGTAGCGAGTTTGTCGCAGAACTGGCTTTTGACGGATAGTGCGAACTTTTTTTACTTTTACTTGAAACATTTTTTCTAACTCTTGCCTAATTTGGAATTTGTTGGCGGAGGGCAACACATAAAAAGCATAAATTTTATGCTTTTGGTAAAGTAATTGACCTTTTTCAGTTAGCAGTGGTTTTTGAATTATCATATATTATTTATTTTT